CCAGGTATTATGTACAGTAGGTAGGGTGATTACCGTGTTTTCCCTAATCGGCGTTCACGGTGTCCCTCGCCGCTACCTGGAATATTGCAACAAGTGGTGCTAAAGTATACTCCTCGCCCACAGCAATAGTTCAGTTGGACACATTGGCTGGAGTTAAACAAATATCCAATTCCTTGCTTTCCTCGTAGTGGGACAAGCCTCAAAACGGTGATGAGAAAAACATCTTCATCAGTTGTGCGGGAGAATGTGGGTTTACGTCAAGTTAAGCACAATTACAGATATTTCACAGCCAGTTAGCTTCAAACAGGAGCAATTAGCGGGTAGCAGACGTTTGCAAACTTTGTCAACCCACGCGGGACGCCGTAGTGCAAACAGGCCTTATCGAGGCGAATACTGAGATTTAAACATAAACGGTAGAACCTGACATGATGGGGTACCAGGAGAGATCTTCCACTTCTACTCTGCCAGCAGTCAGTGTCTGAACCTGAGGCAGATGGTGGCGATATACCATAATTCTACGGCACCTCCTTCTTCCATGGACCATCATCTATCTTCCATGGACCATCATCTAAGTGAGGCCGTACATTTTCACTGCTGCAAGGTTGTTTCATTTGCGTGGGTGGTATGACGTCACATGTATGCAAGACAGCCTCAGCCATGGTCGGTGACAAATGTCTTTCTGATGCTGAAGCCAGAAGCCTTACAGACACACAGCAGGATCCATTGAAGCAAGCATGTGGTAAACCAGAGCCATCTGTTTTCGGAGACGAGGTTTGATTTAATTAAACATTTACAGAGCAAACCAGAACTGAAACTTTAAGCTGCAGGTGTGAGGGATGTCGGGCCTTGTTGAGTAATATTCCACGAATGTAGCGAGGAATTCTGCGACTGGTCTGGACACATCGCATCTATATCGGAAATTTACAGGCTTTAATAACCTGAGTAGACCTGTGTCCATTTTGAGAACTGGGAGAAATATTGTTCAAAGTGGCGTCAAAGAAAAGTTGCTAATTCACTCATGACATCTCTCATCCTCGCTGATCAGTGTGGCTGTTGTATTGTTGGTATATTGGGGTTTGGGGACAAGATCACATGTTCCTTGTGATCAGGGTCAGTGATGTGGCAGGCTGTAGGTCATCGTCACCCACGGATCGATGCTTCAAGACACGAGATGGTTTGCCTTGTCCGGCCGCATGCTAGAATGTTGCAGCTTCAAACAACACCAACACAATTGCTTGATGACAATGTTACGCACATTATTTACGAAAGTATTTCCACTGATGATGTACAATGTTAGGTCATTACATAGCGGCAGACGACGAATAGACCTCACACAATGTACGCATAATGGGAATTGAACCGATATCGTCAGCGTGACCAGAGAACAGAGAACACGTTCACTACATATATATGACCTCACAAAGGACAACTAGGCGTAAGGCACTCGGCTATTAGGCCATGAGCAAGACAATTTTTGGGTACCACTCTGAGGGACCAAACACTTTTATGTTTTTTAAGTGGTTATGGTCTTTATATATCATAAAAGTATGATGGCCATGACGGTTTGGTAGCTCAGACTCAGAACGAGGCTAAATTCAAGATGGCCGCCAAAAAACCCAAAATTTAAACAAAATGTCAATTCCAAGCTTTAATCATGAGTAAAGTTCAGCAAATAGGTTGGAAATGAAAAAAGGGAGGTAACATGGTGCTAACATGATTAAAAAGATTTAATTAATATCAAGTTGTGTTACTTGATACCTTTAAATCATATTTTTTCCTAGTTTTGTAAGAGTCAAAATTGTACGTTCAAAAAACGTTTTAAAAAACTTATCATTTAATTTATTCTGAGGACAGCTCTTTAATTTCAAAAAGTGAGAGCAACTTCAAGTTCCTCAATTTGTCTAGTGATTGAGTGAGTGATTCAGTATGGTTTTACGCCGCTTTTAGCAATATTCCAGCAATATCACGCGGAGGACACCACAAATGAGCTTCACACATTGTGCCCATGTGGGGAATCGAACCCGGGTCTTCGGCGTGACGAGCGAACGCTTTAACCACTAGGTTACCCCACCGCCCAGTGATTGAGTGAGAGCACCTTCAAGTTCCTTAATTTGTGTAGTGATAAATGTAAATATTGGTTGCCATGTCACTGCTCTTTGCTAAGGACATGACAAAGACATCTGTGTCATCTGAGGAAATGACAACTGATTCGCATCATAAATATCAGCTTCATCAGTGTCACTCTTCCGCATGTCATGGTCCATTGGTAAGGCACTGACAACTTGGCAGTTTACAGACTGTTGTGCACTTGCAAGAAATGAACTCAAGAACAGCAACTGATTTGGATTCCTAAGATGCATGTTTAGCATGCAACAGCATCTGCGTGTCTGCGTCTTCTTGTGTAGCTGACAAGGATTCAACTTCAGCTGAAGATTCAGAGGTCATTCTGTGGCACTTGCTTCCACATGCCACACACAGTATTCTGTCTTCAAGTTTGGCCCTGGAATGAGGAAGCTGCCAGTCTTGTGCTGAAGAGTGACACTGATGAAGCTGATGTTTATGATGCGGAACAGTGACTATCACAACACAAATTAAGGGACTTGAAGGTGCTCTCACCCAATCACAACACAAATTAAGGAACTTAAAGGTGCTCGCAATCTTTGAAATTAAAAAGCTGTCTTCAGAATGAATTAAATGATAAGTTTTTAAAAACGCTCTTTGAACGTACAATTTTGACTCTTACAAAACCAGGGAAAAATATGATTTAAAGGTATCAAGTAACACAACTTGATATTAATTAAATCTTTTTAATCATGTTAGCACCAATTTCCCTCCCTTTTTTCATTTCCAGCCTATTTGCTGAACTTTACTCATGATTAAAGCTTGGAATTGACATTTTGTTTAAATTTTGGTTTTATTGGCGGCCATCTTGGATTTAGCCTCGTTCTGAGTCTGAGCTACCAAATTGTGATGTTCATCATACATTTTTGATATATAGAGACATAAAGGAATATAAAAAACACTAAAAATGTTGGTCCCTCTGAGTGGTACCAATATGTCAATTTTCAGCTCCTGGCCCATGGCCTATATACACGTCTCCTTCCGCTACCTACGCACTGTCCGTGAGCAACGTTCGTGATGTACTCGACTAATTCCGGAACGAGCCAAACGGAGAATCGTGCTCACTCACAACATTCCACATTGGCGTGTGAACATCAAAACTATTACAAAGAAGATAACGCTTTTTCTGTTTGATTCCAGCAGTAATAACGGTGACTGTTACACTCAATCATTGCCGCTTTAATTAAGAAATACACTTCGCTTTACCACCATGTATAGTGTAATAAAACACACTTTTGCCCTGAACTATTATAGTTAAAGCACGAGGACGATTGCGTCCGAGTGCTTTAACGTTATAGTAGTTCAGGGCGAAAGTGTGTTTTATTACACTATACATGGTGGTAGGGCGAAGTGTATTTCTTTTCTAAGATGCCAAATGTAATACTTTCTAAAGATAATTACGATTAATTTAAGGCAGAAAACAAACGACGGTGTCGGTGACCTAATTTAAGAATCCTCGCACAGGGCTAACTGGCGCGCTGTTCTATTGATGTGTCTGCCCCCTACGTTAAGATGAACGTTACCAGAAAAAACAAATGATAACAGTTTGATGACGGTTTACGTTCGGATTAAATATCTTCTCTGAATTATTTTAATTACATCTGTCATTAACGTAAACCATATGTAGCAATATGAACGTTGCATTTCTACTACCAGCGTAAGTTTAGATCAGTACATCCAGAGGAAGTTGAGTAGTCAAGCGACATTCCACAATTGCATTGTGGGAATGTAAACATTACGAACGTTACCGTGTCGCTGAAAACTTGTGAGTCGAAATGACACATTTTAACCGTCGTAAAACATAAACGTAATGTTTCCACCAGTGATGTTAGCTGCGTGAAGCAACAGCAAATCCAGAAACGGGATGCAACGGTGTAGTTTACTGTAGGAGGCCGTACGAGGCGATGACAACTGACATGCATAGTGACGTCGCTTACATTGTGACGTAATGTAAAATGGTTCGATTACGAGGGGGCACACTAGAATGGCGCAGTGACGGGATAACGTCATTCAATTGTGACGTCATCAAAAAAACTATACCTTTATTGTCTGATAATGTATATTTTTTCGATTGTTCTAACCGCTAGGCATCTTAGAAACGTATATAGTACATCTCAATGATATATATGTATATATCGTTTATCAAATGTATATTCTTTTTTATATTTTTTAATTTTCATACCATTTTTACAGTTGCACATGGGCTCCAACATGCAGGGTTGAGGGCTTCCTCTGTTTAGAGGTTATACAGAGCATGTAGCAATGGCAATACAAAATAAATCAGTCATTGAACAGGTTGTGACATGCCGACCAGAATTTGTAAAAAGCATGGATTCTGGAGCATAACATAGCTGCATATTTGGTTAAATTGTAATATTGAGTAAGCCTTTTCAACACAAACTGAAATGTTGGCATATTTTCGGATGTTTTACGATTAAAAATTATACTTTTGAAAAGGATGAGGATCACATTAATTGAGTCGTTATGTTTACGACGGAATCCAAGAAGAATTTGAATCAAGTTTATCATTTAGCCAATCTTGGAGTTTCTGCCATATATGGGCAACCTTGCTACAATCATAAAAGATTTGGGGTGTTCGTTTCTATAGAATTTGAGCTATAGCTACATTGGTTATGGTCAATGTATTTCATTCTAAAAAGTCTACTATTCGTTGGCAAAATATGATGAAGCATTTTGCATTGAAACCATTGGAGGTCTGTATCTTTTGTACAACGAAAGGGAATATGGTTATAGTTGTGACAAGGATCTATATCAATTGCAATTTCATTTCCTAATATAACATTCCATTTCATACAGTTTTGATTGCGATTTGTTTTTGTTTCCAATAAAGCCCTGTAATAAACTGAACAACCAGTTCTTTGTCAGAAGGTTGAGTATATATGGTTGTATTGGGTCTACTTTTTTGTTGATGTTTTCTAAATTGATTTGTTTGCTTTTAAAGAAAGCTTTAACTGCGCTAATGACTCGACAATAATCTCGAAAATGAGTTTTTAGAGTATATGTGGTTCTTAATTTTTTCATGGGATAGAAATTTGCCAGCGTCGTTAAGAATTTCGTTTATAAATAGTATACCTTTTTCCTTCCAGTTTGTATAAAAATCGTTTTTCTATCGATTAAAATGTTTTGATTATACCAAATTATTTGGGAAGTAAGGTTTATTTCCTCATATCTCGAGAATAGGTCCCGCCAAGCATTCAGTAAGTCTCGGTAGAATTTATTGCGAACCAATGGAGTGAAAATGTTTCTTAGATTTGGACAATTATATTAAAAACTAATTGCAGATCTAAGTTCAGGTACATTTTCTGCAAATAGGTTGCTGTCTTTAGTGTTCTTCACGTAGAAACGTCTTATAACCGACACTTTTTGAGCCTGCATCACATCCTTTATATTTGGTGCGTCCAGGCAGCCATCTTTAATATTTCATATAAGTTGATCACGTTTAACTTTATCAGGTTTGTTTCTCAATAAGAACTTGAAACATTTTCGTTGAAAGGCATCTATAACTTTGTCCGGAGGATTTTGGATGGAAGCGAAGAGATGATTTAATTTTGGAATGATTAACGATTTAAGTACAGTATTTCCAAAGGATTTCTAATAGACCAAATTGACATGAGGGTTTATCTTTCTAGTTAAGATCAACCATTTCATCAAGATCTAAATCAAATTTTATTCCGAGTAATTCAAAATTAGTTTGTTCCTAATTTAGATTGAAATTTCGACAGGCCTCTATTCTTGAGCGTTATCTAGAGCCAATCCATAAAATTCTAGTTTTGTCTATATTTACTTTCAATCCTGAAAAACGGGCAAAACACGTTAAAACCCGAAGCACTGCTTGCAAACATCGTTCAGATCCATCTAAAGAGCAGCTAGTATCATCGGCAAATTAATTGAGTAAGCATTCAACATTGTTTACATGTACATGTATTCCTTTTATTTCTGCATTATTTCGTTTCATTATTGCTAAAATTTCAACACAAAGTATGAAGAGATATGGTGAAAGTGGATCTCCTTGATGACAGCCTCTATAGATGTTAAAGTTTGAAGAACCAAAACCATTAACTAGTACACTTGAAGTTATATTTTTATAAAATTTATGTAACCAAGCTTATGATAGAATTTCCAAAATTGAAAAAGGTGAGTGTCTTTTCGATGAATGACCAGTCTACTGTATCAAATGCTTTTTCAAAATCTACAAGAAGTAAAAGTCCAGGAATCTGGTATGTATCGGTGTAATCAATCAAGTCATAAATTTGCCTAATAATATCACCTATGTATCTTCCAGACATGAAACCCTTTTGATCTTCACTTATCAAAGTGTCAAGAACAGACTTGATTCGTTTTGAGATAGCCATAGAGGCAACTTTATAAAATACTGACAGTAGTGATATCGGGCTCCAGTTTTTAATGTATTGTTTAGACTTATCTCCCTTGGGAATACAGGTAATAAGTCCTTGCTTTTGAGTAACTGATAGTTCTCCATTTCTGTATCCATAGTTGAAAGAACGTAGAAGGTATTCTCCTAAATCATGCCAGAAGAACTCTGAAGAAGAATTCTGCAGTAAAGCGATCTGGGCCTGGACTTTTATCGTTCTTAAGACATTTAAGAGCAGTTAGGATTTCGTCTTTGCTAAGTTCACCTTCGATGCTGGATGATACGTTGTGACTCAGTTTCGAAATTTTACAATTAGTCGATAGGTCGTCATTTATTTATATTAGAAACGTCATGATTACTATAAAGCTTTTGATAGAACAGTTTTACTTCATTATGGATATCATCTTGGGTGGTTAGAATTTTTCCATTCACATCTTCCATTCTTGAAAATGATTTATTAAGCAAGTTTCTAGATTCTAAATTTAAAAAGGAAAGAAGTTGTTTTTTCTCCCTGTTCGATCCATGTAGCTTTGGACCTAAGAATTGACCCTTGAGTTTTGGTTTCGTATATTTCTTCGAGTTCCTGCTGTAATTGTTTAATTTCAGAAATCAGATCTGCCTTTACTGTGGCATCGTTTGATTCATCTAGATTAACTTCGGCTTCAGTGAGTTTATATGTAAGTTGTGTTTCTTTCTTAATTCTTTCCTTTTTCAGAAATGAAGAGTACTTTATGGTTTCTCCTCCTATTCGTTTGTCCCAACGTTGTACTGCTGAACTGTTTGGGAAATAATGCCCATAATTTTCATTAACATAACAAACAATAAACGGCTTCAGTTAAAATGTATTACCTACAGTTTAATGGATATCCAAGAAAAGCAATTGCAATGCCTTCCTCTGAATGGGAAAGAAAATGATTTTTTGAAAGGTAGTATTATTTTCAAATGATAGCTGTAACGAGCCATAGCTAAAAATATTTAGTATACAGTGTTGTTATTTATACGATTAAAATACATTATATTTTTACAATTCACATTTGTCAGTTTTATATAGTTTTACCTATATCATAAAATTAACATAGCTGCTAACTGAGGGAAAAACTTGATTACTCCATATTAATATAGAAATATAGCACAGGAATCGGCGTGCTTCCAAAATGGAATCCTGAAGCTATTAATGATTATCTGTAATAATAATAGAGCATCGATTAATTCATCATAATCATAATATCAAAGAATTTCACTACATACGTTCAGGTAATTTTCACCATTCATTATACTGTCATGGAATATCACCATTCGACACAGCATCAGGGAATTTTAGCATTCAATATGATAATTTTATGTTTCAACATAATATCAGGGAATTTCACCATCAAACATGATACCAGTGAGTTTTATCATAATCATTTTCTCAAAGATTTCATTTCATTTACCAGACAGGAATCACCGCACAGAATTAACTATAAGAACGTTATAAAGACCGGATGCAGACGTGTTCTGATGTAACGGGTATACAAAGCAGCGTTAAATTTACCTCACCTTTTGTTCTTATTTATAACATTGTACACAGACATTCCCGTGACGCAAGTGAAATATAGACTGTGTTGAACTCAGCTGTAAATCCAGTCTCTAACTATAAACAGATTTTACAATCCATAAACGACTCTAGCGGAGGCATAAGCCTAACACTTTACGCAAGTCACATATAAAGATATCCTCATTAAAACCTCTTTTTCCACTCCAATATGTCATGCCTCTGTGTAAAGATATGGAGACACGTCCAAGGGAGAATATCGGATTTTAAGATCAGTTTTCAAGTAGATCAACATAAAACATAGTTCAGTTGTCTTGTTAGTATGTAATGTTCAATCTGCATTTAGATAAAAAAAATCAAGTTTCAGAGTTGATCATAGCATTGACCAAAACGTGTACTTGTTACCAAACTTTGTATGAACCTATCGTCAATCAACTGTCTTTGTGATGTTACTTTTTTTCAAAAACTTATCCTAATATTGAAATAATATTAAATTTATTATCGAAATGTTCTCATGTCTAATCATATCTCATCTAATTTACTCATGCTTTCAAAACAAAGCGGGAGATATTCGAAAACAACAGGTGATTCCAGAGAGACACAAAGAGGTATCGAGCGATGGAGACAGACAGGAAAATGGGAAGGACGAGGTGTAACATGACAATTAAGTAACATGCTGGCGGGTACAAACAACCAAGAACGACGAAAGCAGCGTGTAGTTAAAACTGAACGTGGCTTGATCAATAATGGAACATGCCGCCACCATTTGTTAAACATCCTGTCCCACGGCATGGCGTGATCCGAATCAATCTCCCAACCATAATTTGAAGGCTTCTTGTCCTCTCCTCTTGCAGCGCCTGACCAAATGCGGCCAACGTAGCCGATGGCTTTTGATGTCGACGTTCAGGTCTTGCGATCATGTCCCAGAGAAGATGTATTTGGGAAAGGTCAGGGCTCAAGCTATCCATTGTATTCTAGTGACGTTTTGCTGCTGCATATAGCTGGTTACGATATGTGCACGGTGGGCACGAGCGCTACTGTCTTGACAGAAAAAACGCAGACAAGCACAACTATTGACGACAGTGCTACTCAGAGACTCTTCTCCGAACAATATGTTGTGGTGTACTGATAGTCATAATGATCCTGCGCCTTATTAGTAGAGATCGACCCCGAAAGAGCTGTTAGGTTGCCTTGCGTTATCCTTCGATGATGTGAAGTTGGACGTCTCAAGAAATCATTATCCAAAGATCCCGCATTATTTCCTTGCAGACTATTTCTTAGGTGGTGAATTACTTGTGTGAACGTTGTTTTTCTTGTGTCTGCAGAAACTTATTTTAATGTGTAAATAGTGCGACAAAACCCTTTCCACATCCAAATCAAAGACTGGAGAATCAGAACTATGGCTATCTCCCGTGAATTTTGTCAGTTTGAAAAATTCCAATATTCCCCAGGCCTTCGTCACTTTGTAGGTTACGAATTCCTAATCGGATCACACATACTGCATTAGAGCAAGAGTATTAACTCCCGTGTTACTTTGGATAATGAAAATCAACAATGCTAATGGCTCCGAGCGACTTCACGACCTTTTGCTGAAGTGTCAAAATCAAGAACTGTACGGTCTACGTGTATTGTTCCAGGTGTGTTGGAGCGTGAGGTTTTGTTCCAAAACCATTCTGTCTCTGCCAGTCATTTTTCAAAGCTTGATGACCGATCATAACCTGTATGTGCACAGCGTCATTGTTGAAGGGCGCCTGACTATGTTTGCAATGTGATAAACAGTTAACAAAAATGTTCTTTATGTCCATTTATGAGACTGGAAACACTGGACAACAACTATAAGAAACTATGGAAAGTGCATGATCAAAATCAATCTGAATACAACAGTTACTGATAAATATTTAACATGTTTCCATTTCGGGATGAAGATATGGTTAAATACCCCGTATTCCATGTTGCCATTGATGCTATGTGTGTAATGTCCCTGTTTTTCTGAAAACTATGCAAATATGAAACGCCAGAGAGTAACTATTCACAGATATCCGACAAAACAGTTGCCAAATAAAAAACAGTTGCCAAATAAAAAAACATTATATGAATCGATCACCGTTAATCAGGTGATGATACCAGTGGAAACAAATATATAATAATTGATATTTGAATATGTCCAGTAGTGACATATATAGCTTAACATAAACATATACTCGAGACTTATCGCTAGAGAAGTATGGTATTGTACGAATTGTGTTTCTAAGACTCAATAGATTACACAGACACACACACACACACACACACACACACACACACACACACACACATATATATATATATATATATATATATATATATACTACAGAGCCATTTAAACCTAAAGATACCACTAAGTGAGTAGAGAAGACACGTGTTGCTTGTTGTGACAGTGAAATTCATTTCACATGACCTGTGGTTTGTGATATCAGGAAAAAGTATATTCAACCACGTTATTGATTGTAACCATCAGTCTCCAAACGCGTATAATCACTGCATGTCGACATCAGTGTAATTTACTTAAATCTATCATACAAACTATAAAACCTAAACTAATTAGTTACTGCTGGCTGATTGTATACATTCTCCTCTCATAAATGTGTTCATTTACTTCTCACACAGCATCATATCCTAAATACCTGTATAATGTATGTATCTAAGCAGCAAAAGCTATGAGTTGAATCTCTTAAATTCATAAAGAATTGATTGAACTGAAGACCACCCAATCCATCACTTGCGAAGTTGATACCACTTCTCATTTCATTATGAAGGCAAGATCTTTAATCAACCTCACTATGAAGTTATTGCTACCTTAAACACAATAGACGTTATAACGTTATTGTTGACAAAGTTCAACACCGTGTACGATAAACACTTGAACAATATCAAAATGACAAAATGAAAAGCCACACAGGACTACTTACCTTCTCCAATCAACCTGTTGATGACAAGGAAAACCTAGTGGTTAAATGGAAGCTGAGGAGTCAATGAGTCCATGGAATTTTAGCGCTCACTCCTGTTCAGATACCATTGTATCAATGTCCTCGGATTGCCATCAGAGGCAGCACCTGTTAGGTTAACAGTCTAACGTAGTGGGAGACAGCAGGGTCAGATTAAGTCCCTTCTCCGTGTGTTGTGTGCACTGTCATGCTGGAGAGACGTTAGCTCGGGTAGCAAGTGACGCAAGTTTCGATCGACCCCGCGTAGCGTCCTTTGTGGTTGTGGCAAGTTCAGTTGACAATACAATCGATGGCTGTGGGTTTCATTACCGACGGTTGGCGATTGCAAGCACAGGTCCGCAAACCTTGCTTGTATTTTGGTTAGATAAGCCTAATAACATAATCATTGGTTGTTATTCCTGACATTGTGAGGTAACGGTATGAGGATCCTTCTCCGAGTGCTGATTTGTCATCCAAACCAGCGTTAGTTGCCCATCAAAATGCGTCCAGTTGTACTGGGATCACGTCATATATATCCCGTGTCTGTGGGCACTGTTGGCTAATACTTGGCCGGGTTGTTAATAGCTGTACGTGTACGATTATTTTATTAGCTTGTGTGGAAAGAAGTTTGAGGTGAAGGTATTTTAGGCCGACAAATGTGTTTATTTTTCCATGGATGTGAGCATGAATAAATTAACGGTTGATGTACCAGGCGATAGATGTTAGCAGCTAGGTGAAATCCCGAACACCTGCATGGCGCTACAACAATGAAAAATATTAATCGGGTGGAATCTTGAAACAGGCGATTATGGCATTTGCAAAAAGTAGTCATCCGTGTCCCCCTGGCGATGACAGAAAGTCATAAATAACAACAGATGCAGAAGGGAGCAGTTTAATATTAAGTTAAATATACCACACACAACGGAATCACACGAAATTCAGATCGACATTGATTGATTGTTGTTTAACGCCGCACTCAGCAATATTCCAGCTATATGGCGGCGGTCTGTAAATAATCGTGTCTGGACCAGACAATCAAGTGATCAACAGCATGAGTATCGATCTATGCAATTGGGATACGATGACATGTGTCAACCAAGTCAGCGAGTCTGACCTGCCTCTTACGACAAGCATGGGATGCTGAAGATCAATTGTTACCCTGATCTACACGGGTTCAGATCAACAGGTGAAGGTAAGGGTGTTAGATGAAGATGTTGACAAGATTTCCAACATTAAGGAAAAGTTCAGAAAAACTCATCAAAGAATGATTTGTAACTTATCGTCTATGCAGTATATTGCATAATATACAAGAGATTGAGGCATGTTCGAAACAGAATATGCGATTCAAAATCGAAATCAAAAGTGAATGCAAAAACATTATAATGATGCCCACATGTAATCCGAGGAGCAGATATGAACACAGCCATTGGTCGAGCTCCTCTTACAAACAGAAAACTACGATTAATTATGTGAATGTGTACTTTTATTGCAGCGTCGTCTAAGAGTGATGAGGTTGTATCGCATGCCAGTCAGCATCTCGCCGCATACATCCTGTGAATACGTATTTGTGTGCACACATCAATGACCGCACAAGACGCAATCGGATTCCAGACTCATCCTCCACGGACAAAATAGACATACCTCTCGTATTCTGAAAGAGAAGGAGATAATCAGGCTTTCATCGGTCTCGTCTTTCTCCTATCAAGGGATAAGTCTGTCGTCGTCTGCGTGTACTGCATGATACCGTAATGTTCCACGGATTAAATATAAACTCGTAGCTCAACTTTTCTGCGCACTTAAAGCTTGTTTACAATTGTCACATTTATAGTTCGTTCACAGTGAGTATATTTTCTGTCATGGAATACGCACTGGAAAAGAACAAATTATATTTCGACATATGACGACTCTTTGGCATGTTGATGAGTTTCATAATCCGTGAAGATCTGGGTTAGAATTGAGTAACCCATGCTTTTCTACCCGTGAAGATCCGGGTTAGAATTGATCTTCAGTAACCCATGCTTGTCGAAAAAGGCGACTAACGGGATAGGGTGGTTACTCTCACTGACTTGGTTGACACATGTCATTGTATCCTAATTGCGTAGATCGATGTTCATGCTGTTGATCACTGGATTGTCTAAGTACAATGTGTGAAGCCCATTTCTGGTGTCCACTGTCCTGACATTGCTGGAATAGCTGAACTCACTCACTCACTCACACTCACCAATGTCTCCACGGGGCGTTCTCACTTATTGTTCTCATCGGCAGACTGAAAGCCATAGTTTGTTCACACAGTGAGTGTAACTGTCTCAACATGTTTTATATTCACTTTATTCATTTCATTTATCATTAACGAACAGAACGAATAGCATACAATTCAAACAGAATACATAGCACTACCATCACAGAAACTGGTCACAGAAAATGTTCAAGTTCTTACCTTAACAGCAACTAGGTGTGAATCAGCATCACCATACGGAGGACCCACAACGGTGCCATCTTCCAGTCAGCGTTTCTAGGTGACGATTTGGTCGTCGTGCTAGATTAACTTTTTCTCTTGCGTCTCAATGAACCACCTGATTCAATAATTTCAGAGTCTGACGATCACTTCTCAGAAGTCCAATTTCTCAGTCGCGTTTAGATGGGAGAATAAAGTGCTCCTGATCCCCACAGGTGTAAATATCGGGGTCAAATCAATTCAGGAAGTGAATTTGAGGTATCCATACAGTAGTAAGTAAATGAGGTGGTAAATAAATGAATAAAGTAAGGAAAGACAAAAGACCAAACCCTAGATAATATAGAGAATAAAGAAAGACGTCAAAGACGGAATCTGGTTTAAGGTATAACTAACATGAATCAGTGTTGCATAGTAAAGCATATGTTGAGGATCAGTTAAGCTTGTAGAAACAGTGTAGAAAAGGGGTTACAGCAAACATCCTGTGGTTAAAGGAGGACAAGGGACTGGGAGGTCAATTGTGTGGTTATAAGAGGCGTGCATCCTGGATTTTGATATATTTCATCTTATACAACAGGTGAACATATTTCCCTCAGTGGTAATTGACTGGCATACTTGGCACTTATCATGGCGGGTTTGTTACTGGGCCGCATGACCCGTGAAGATCCGGGTTAGAATATTGATCTTCAGTAATCCATGCTTGTCGTAAGAGGCGACTAACGGGATCGGGTGGTCAGGCTCGCTGACTTGGTTGACACATGTCATTGGTTCCCAAATGCCCAGATCGATGCTCATGCTGTTGATCACTGGATTGTCTGGTCCATACTCGATTATTTACAGACAGCCGCCATATAGCTGGAATATTTTTGCGCTCGGCGTTAAACAACAAACTAACCAACTAAAATCCTCTTCTAAACCATGTATATGTATCTATAATAGGGGTAACTATAATATTGTACCTGCATGCCATGAACCCGTGAAGATCCTGATTAGAACTGATCTTCAGTTACCCATGCCTATCGACTAACGGGATCGGGTGGTCAGGCTCGCTGACTTGCGGCGTAAAACTAAATTCACACATTCACTACTGGACCAGATCCTTATTCCGCATGCCCGCATGACTTCTATGCCCGAACTGGAGACAAGAACTTCTTCACTTCGAGATAACTTGGCAATGATGGTTTCAATTCCTGTTTTGGGAGGGATCTGCATTTACATTAATTTGCAATTGTGAGATGTTATGGTGTAAGTGATATATGGCTGGAATATACATGTAGTGTTAAACTTCGCGGTGTAGCTCAAATCGACATTTCTAAACTGTCCTTTTGAACAGGCGAATCTTGGTCATATCAATTAACAGGAAATTTATATCAACAATAGTTTTTTCGTCGCGGATATGTCTGAAATATTGTCAGTGTGACATGAAAGTTTAACTCCCGCACTCACTGTTACCAAGAAGTGTACCAAGAAGTTTTCACTGTGACTAATGGTTGGCGAGGCATAGGGAATACGGGCTGACGCCACTGTTGTCTATACAGTAATGATTTAAGTACTACGATATCCTGCATTGCTCTCTCCTGATATTATCAGATGTAGGAGAACGGTAGCTGGCTATTAGACTGATGTGGTTAGAACTGTCGATATTCAGGCCTCAGCTCCGCTGTCAAGTGCTCGATCTCAATCACAGAATCTGCACGAATTGAAACTGTCGGGCACGTAATGAAGATTGAAGTTAGGACAAAATATTATTTGACTCTCGAGTTTTACAGGCAATTTCTTTTGTTAGTGGTCGCAAATTGAATGAAGCGCCCATAAAATGTCCAATGCACTACTTGGCTGTGGTATGAATCTACACCCACAGCAGTACGTATATCCGGAGTAAGCGTCCATGAATGTTTACAGTGCAAGCTCCGTCCAAGCGCTCTCCCGGTATATCACAATGTCTATCGAGCTGGTTCACAGTTGCTGGTTCACAGACTGACGCAGCCTTAGTTTGTTTGAACCTTTTCTGGACGAGGAGTGAGTGAATGGGTTTAGTTTTACGCCACACTCAGCAATATTCCAGCTATATGGCGGCGGTCTTTAAATAATCGAGTCTGGACCAGACAATCCAGTGATCAACATCATGAGCATCGATCTGCGCAACTGGGAACCGATTACATGTGTCAACCAAGCCTGACCACCCGATCCCGTTAGTTGCCTCTTACCACAAGCATGAGTTACTGAAGATCAGTTCTAATCCGGACCTCCATGGGTGTTTGGACGAGGAACTGTAGCATACTTTCGGCACTCGGTGGTGGATTAGTGGCCAGTGAATAGAAATAAACGTTCTCAAATCGAGGAGTTTTGTCTCGTTTAAATGATCGTTTCCAAGTAATTTTATGTCTTCAGGGTGGATTCCATTCGAATATCAGGTGTGAGATCAATCAAATGACATCCACAATATCTCTCCGTCCCAAGTTGTGCATTTTAGACTCAATACATTCGTTATAAATTATTATTATTACACGTGTCAAGTAAGTCAGCGAGCCTGATCACCCGATCCCGTTAGTGGCACTTTAGACAAGCATGGGTTACTGAAGACCAGATCTTCACGGGTCCATCTCTTGTCATAAAGGACATTTAAAATAGAAAGATATAAATGAATCAGTTTTTATTCATTAAAAAATGACAATTTAAAGTTTGCTGGCCTAATCGAGAACACTCACCACGTCGTGAAAACTAGACAACCATAGTAGGTCGACGGAACCGATACCAAAGTGAAACATTTACAACTCATTCAGTTCCTCCGTTAACCTATCAGTGGCAGAAACGTATCCATCCGGCTGAGGGAGCTCCACATCCGATCCCGACGTCCTTCGATACGGCCCAGATTGATTCCGCGTCACTAGCAGACACGTCTAGCTTGGTACTGACAGCATCCGAGCTTTAGGAGATAAAGTTCTGACAGTAGACTGTTCACAGATGGGACAAGATTCATCGGGACAGCAATGATGATCTTGTAGGGGTATCCGGGCGTCTTGAGGACGTTATAACGGCCTTCACGTTATTCAGTTTGGAGGGCTGGGGAAGTATAACGGTGTAGCATTACAACTCATGGGAGAACACAACACATAATTGTTATTGAACAATTAACAATCATAATTGTTATCGAAACTTTGAATGGTGTACTCTTCCAGCACGACATCGTTCGAGACCATGTTCTGTCCTTTGTGAAACTGTGATGATTTGACGTTACATTGCAAACTGGGTAATGTCCACCCACGTGTGACATGTGTTGTCCATGCGGTTGTTGTGATAAACATCGATCAGACGCATGACTAAAATAATATTATGTCCTTAGTTTCGATATACACCATTGTATATGAACCATGGTTAATATTTTCTGGGGCGGTGGGGTAGCCGTGTGATTAAATCGTTCACTCGTCACGCTGAAGACGCGGGTTCGATTCCCCACATGGTTTCAATGTATGAAGCCCATTACCTCGTGATATCGCTGAAATGTGCTAAATGCGGTGTAAAACACTCACTACTGTTTTCTGCTAGCAACCGTACAATCCAACAGAAGCAAATGTCAATAAGCGTGTTGATCTGATCCGAGTTAGTATTTTCGTGGGTGTAGAGGAAGGTTTACCAGTAGAGGTAGCTGACAATGTAAGAAGATTTAGTCATACCGATTCTTCCTTCATCAAATATCACATTCGTCACCACTTGACCCTTGACCTGCAAGAACCGATATCAGGAATACCTTCTCTGTAAGGCCGGGTTCGGTTTCCCTCATGGGTACAATATGTAAAGCGTGTTCGCCCGCAGTGATATTGCTGGAATATTGCTAAAAGTGGCGTAAAATATACTTACTCACTCACTCACTCTATATAAGGCGTAACAAGATATGTAACAAACACGTAAGAGAGTTTCTTTATTAAACGATTTGTTTTGTTTGTTTTTGGTCTTTTATTGTTTGCTTTTGTTGTTGTATTTGTGTGTGTGTGTGTGTGTGTGTGTGTGTTTGTTTGTTTGTTTTTTATTTATTTTTGGTTGTTCGCGGGGAGGCGAATTGTGTTTCAGAATTGGAAAACGGACTCGCGGAAAGACAGCATGGATATTCTCAAAGCCTAATCTCTTAATCCCAATATGAGAAGGCTTGAGAATGGTGAGAGCAACTGGGACCATGTAATAAAGTACGCCCGTAAGCTGTTACATGTCTTATGGTATGACTTCAAACATGTAGCTCAAATTTACTGTTTGATGTAAAAACAGGGGGAAGTAACTTTATGTAGTAAATCAAGTCTCGTGGATTGTGTAATGGATTTCGACAAAGACCATCTGCTCTTCGTTGATGTATAACCACTTCTATGCCGTACCGCATCTGATGGGTTGTCGCTTTTTGCATCCATATACCGGCGCTGTCTTCATCAGTGAGCGATAGAGTAGGGTCTCTTTGGCAACACGATTTAGATTTTCTTTATAATGGTAAAAAGACTGTTTGAAGCCAGACGTTTTACTTCGTGATGAATAACAGGTAATTCCGGTGGGTTAAGAAGTGAAAGGTTTTTCTGTGGGAATCAACTTCTTGCCAGAGTCGCAACATCTGCCCTTTTACCCGGTGTCACTACTATAGTGCACTATGTCAAACTCGGACTCTGTCTTTCTCGGATTGCTGTGTAAACAGGACTGAACTTACGGTCCCGACGTAATTTGTTGTCATAATGTATAACGCTTTTATCATTGTGAATGGGTAAGCTGAATTTCGATGTTACGGTCCACGTCCACCGAGGCCTAAAACTGTTCTTTTCCCATGCGCATTTAGTAATGAAAGTTATTTTAACAATACATACTGTACGTCCATGTGAATGATGAAGTGCCCACTAACATTTCATTCTCAGCTCCTTGAGAATCATACCACCAATGCAGCCTTGTGAAACGCCGGACGTTTCGCACTTATATTACAATACCATTCCACAGGTTATATTTCGAGTACACTCTCATGAGCCAAGCTTCCCAATACGGCCACCATTCCATCTCCTCTCCGTGAGGACCCATACTAAACTTGTTGGCCTGTTTGCAATAGTTCGTGCGTGCAGTATCCACGTGACACATTTTTTAAAAAGAAAAACCCTGTTTAATAAGCAGTATTGTCTTAACATATATTGATGACTTATCGCGTGATGTAAATATTTGCTGTATTACTGAAACTTTTTTATGTGCTGTAAGATGTGCCTGACGTGTCCCACTCACCTAACAGTCATGCAATTACAACACAAAAGATGGGTAACTGAACTGAATTGATGTTTACTGAAAGAAACACGTTCATTGTCTTTCGAAAACACATTACTTGAAGCGTGACAGTGATCGATTGCACTCTGACGTTTTTGCATTTGCAACACGGAAGAGAAATATTTTTCAACTGAGCAGGCGAAAAACATGGACTTGGAATGAACATGAGAAACTGTAACACTATTGTTTGCCAGATGACCAATGTTACAATTGCAAAATAACGGGGTTTTTACGATGATTATAAAAGCTTTCGTGCTAAACGTCGAACTTATTCCTATTCCTGCATAAAGGTCAAATTATGTGGTGTGGTTGTGTCTGTGTGGATGAAGACGTGTTACGACATTTACGTTTGGTTTATAGATCTGTCAAAGTTGGGTTTTCTTTCGTCGTCAGGTACAAGGTTTGAGATAAATGGGACTATTTCTAAATGCATTATAGTTTTCTCACAAAGTGTACAAGAGAATCATTAAATAGAATACCAAGCCCGTATATCGCTTTAGATACTGATTGTTTCCCAAGAATAATCCTTTTTATTCTCCTGAGCCCAACATAACACGCCCCCAACATAAAGGCATCATGGCATCAACATAAAGGCATCATGAATATACCGGAAACAAAATATTCTGAGCAGTACAGAGTTACGGTTACTACAGCAGATAAACGGTAAGCCTATTATTTTGTAATAGCTAAACGAAAATAGCTAAGTGAATCTCGTGATTTTCAAGACCGCCTCCGTGGTGTAGTGGTTAGAGCGTCCGCCCGGAGAGCGGTAGGTCGCGGGTTCGATCCCCGACCGCGCCATACCAAAAGACGTTAAAATATGGTACTTCTTGGTCCCTGCCTGGCGCTCGGCATTAATGGGTACAACAAGGACTGGTCGGCTCGGAGTCAGTATAATGTGTCTGAGTGGGGTATTCATGCTTCACTGCGGCATGGTATCTCAGTGGGCTAGCACTATAAAATCAGCTTAAGTCTGGGCTAGTACAAGCAGCCGCACATACACATACGCATGCACGTCGTCATGTGAGCGAAATATTCTCCAGCACGACGTTAAACCCAATTTCACCTCACCTCACCTCGTGATTTTCATGAACTGAAGAAATCTGTACAGTTCAAATTATATTGGACTTTCGTGGAAATATTCGCATATACTTGTTAGGGAGTTTGTGTGATGTATACTCGCCACCACGATGTATTGTGTCGGCCGGTGTGAGGGGCAGTGATGGTGACACTGGTTGACGTACTACAAAGCCAGGACTGAGTGAGTTGCATTAAACACTACCCACAACAATATTATATTCCAGTTATATCACAGCGTGCCAGCCTCATGTGTGAATATAGTCATGTATATATCAGATATTTACCACCACAGTCAAACCCATGAGGACAGGTATGGTGCTAAGAAACAACACACAACATACTTGGGTCGCATCGGGAGTCAAACCCACATTTCTGGTTTCTGGCATGGAGTGTTCAAGTGACCAGGGAATTGCGTCGGGCGCAGTACGGTAGACCACAGAATCGATGGAAGATAAACGTGGTGTCGTTTTATTGCTTGATTGTAACTATCAAAACATTTACACAAGCACCCGAAGCAATTCCTTGTTCTAAACCAGTACAAATACCTTAACATGTGGGACAACGTGTTGCTTTTGCAGGATTTTAAGAACGCTTCGATCTTCTCCCTTCTCCCTCATTCCAAACACATATATACAGTCTGTAACCTTAAGTTGGGTTTAGCACCGAACAGAAAGTGAGTGAGTGAGATTAGTTTTACGCCGCACTCAGCTATATTCCATCTAGTCTGTAAATAATCGAGTCTGGACCAGACAATCCAGTGGTCAACAACATGAGCATCGAACTACGCAATTGGGATATGTGTGAAATGTGTCAACCAAGTCAGCGAGCCTGACCACCAGATCCCGTTAGTCGCCTTTTACGACAATCATGAGTTACTGAAGATCAATTCTAACCCGGATCTTCACTGGGGTAAAAAGAACAGAATGAAAAAGGGTTTAAATGTATGAAATTGAATAACACATTCGCACTTTCATTCCACAGGGACCAGCACGCCGTTATACATTTGTAATAATAGCTCTGTAAGAAAGACGTTGGGGTCTGAGTAACTTGTGTGTAGGAAATTGAAATTTTGAAATCATTTTGATTATCATTTTAAAATAAACTATCTGCAACAGTTTAGTTTTTGACATATGTGTTTTATACATTTTCATTAATATGATGTTAGTTGTTCACTTACATTGTTAACGAAACTCCTGATTTCATGGAAAACTTTTGGAGACGCTGAATGGTTTACCGCGCTTCCACGAGGTTCTAGCGTTAGGGGAGATAACCGCATATGGCCTAATAGAGCCACCACGACCATTGCCTGTGGAGATGCAGACTAACGCTCGGTCTATTCTAATTTTATAGAGAGAAACAACCCCATTTCAATCGGAAAGGAGCCTTATGAGATGGGAGATTCACAACCTGAGGAAACGTAGTCTTGCTTCATTTAGGGCTATATCATTGCAGGGACGACTATGCAGTAGAGAAAATAATGTGGTTCAGGGACTGTGAGACAGACAAGTGGTGATGCCGTGGAGGAGATTATCGTATGGAAGTCGAAAACAGGATGTTAGTGTAAAACTGAAAAACGGTGAATGAACTGATATCAGTATTGTTAACACAGTGGTTAACTATGACATGCCTGTGTTGATTAAACATTAGTAGAAAACTGTTTCATTGTACATAATTTTGTTTGCTGTTTTGAATGAAGACATGCTACTAATCTTGCCCCGTGGTGGTGCCTTTCAGCAAAACGTTCTAGTAAAAATTGTGAAAGGCTTCTGATTATCAACTATATTTCAGTAAGGTTTTTCATCGACGCTACCGGGACGGTGGGGTAGCCTAGTGGTTAAACCGTTTGCTTGTCACGCCGAAGACCCGGGTTCGATCACCCACATGGGTAAAATGTGTGAAACCCATTTCTGGTGTCCCCTGCTGTGATATTGCTGTAATATTGCTAAAAGCGGTGTAAAACCATACTCACTCACTCATCCACGCTACCACAGAACCACAGAATATATAACCCGCTCTTTTAATTTCCAATATTTCATGTAACAATATGATACATGCTTGTAATTCAAGTAATTTCATGTGAAACAACATGAGCGTCTGTCATTATGGAGGTTATTTTCTCCGCCCGTAGCCAGGGTGGTTTGTGTCACGAACCGATGTGCCACAACCGTCGCTTTGACATACAAACAAAGCCAGGAGCAAGTCTAGGTCTAGGTTTACCTTAACCAATCGCAGGCTTCGTTTCATTTAGGGATGACAAGAGCCAAAATGGCGGACGTAGATAAGTGGATTGAGGTTGCGAAACAGTGCAAATATTTACCAGAAAATGATTTGAAGGTACGATGTGGAAATCATGACTGTGTGTATTTAACATCAAGTTAATGTATGTGAATATTTGTATAAAGTCACACGTCGTGTTAAAACTTTCCTTGGAAATTGTGTGTCCTGTTTTCGATCACTTTCCTAAATTTAGCTATGATAACACAGCGTAGGTATGAAGCCTCACGAGTGATTACATTGTCAGCTTGTCAAAATGACCAGTTTAAATATTTTGAGGGGACGAATTTGCTCATTTAATTATCTTACATGCAGTACCTATTCGACCACAGGTGTCTATTGATATGTGAGAAAAACAGGTCGCTTATAATGAGTTGTTTACCAAACACGCTCAAGTGTAAAGGTATTTTTATGCCAAAATCATGTTTTCCAGGCTTAATGTTGCAACAGGTTAAGAGAGTTTATATCCATTGGTGGAACCTTTGAATTAAAATTCGAAACATCTCTAGGAAATTATATGAACTGATTTGGAATTCCGGGGGATTCCCTGGTTTTCTACCCTACTCTTTTGAAACCAAGTCTGTTGGTTGCATTATCATGTTAATGTTATGGTGTTAATGTGGGCTAATTAAAAGCAGAAATATACATAAAACTGCTTGTCACAAATATACATAAAACTGCATGTCACTCAGGGGTGGAAATAACCCCTTTTTCCGATGTCTGAGTCCAGTGGTTTTTTTTGTTGGGCAACAAATTTGTATATCACACTCTACCGTTGTCCAGTTGACTTTCTAATGTTAATTATGTTGTTTATTTAAAAATCAACAAGAAAACGTCCTGTATAGTGGAAAAATTATCAGGGCAAGTGATTTTACATGTACCACTGTACCTGAGTACACTAGCAATTTTAAAGTTATTTCCACCCCTGGTTACAAAATACTGTTTTTTGTAGGTGAGTCAGATAATACATATTGTGAAAATTTGTCTGTTAGGGTAAAAAGATATTAAAAAAAGAAATATAACAAGAAGTATCATTGTTATAATTGTATCCAATACAACGAAATTGCATTGACTGACCAAGCACAGTAATATTTCCTTTGGAATGTATACATTCAGTGTCGTGAACTGTAGAATCATTTAGCTCCCAATTTATTGCAATACACATGATACATATCACAATACAGCTGCCTGTCACAATAACTGCCTGAATTTTAGTATACTGATCATCTAATAATGACAAACATTTTCGTGTTTAGTGTATTAGGCTCAGTTAATCAGACTATGTTATGTTTGGATGGTCTAGTTTGTGTCAGGTGATTGACTTGAGGATTAAAATGTTTGCTGTGTTCTTTTAGAAACTCTGTGACATGGTGTGCGAGCTGCTGCTGGAGGAGTCGAATGTCCAGCCAGTGTCCACCCCAGTCACCGTGTGTGGAGACATTCATGGCCAGGTGAGTCAATGCAACATCACAGGTTTTACCTCCATGTGAACGGCACACTAGAAATTAGGTCCCCTACATGCTGCACGATCTCCACATGGGGATTCAGGGATAGAATAGGTTCCCTACATGCTGCACGATCTCCACATGGGGATTCAGGGATAGAATAGGTTCCCTACATGCTGCACGATCTCCACATGGGGATTCAGGGATAGAATAGGTTCCCTACATGCTGCACGATCTCCACATGGGGATTCAGGGATAGAATAGGTTCCCTACATGCTGGATTCGATCTCCACATGGGGATTCAGGGATAGAATAGGTTCCCAGGGATAGAATACATGCTGCACGATCTCCACATGGGGATTCAGGGATAGAATAGGTTCCCTACATGCTGCACGATCTCCACATGGGGATTCAGGGATAGAATAGGTTCCCTACATGCTGCACGCCACGATCACCACATGGGGATTCAGGGGATAGAATAGGTTCCCTACATGCTGCACGATCTCCACATGGGGATTCAGGGATAGAATAGGTTCCCTACATGCTGCGATCACCACATGGGGATTCAGGGATAGAATAGGTTCCCTACATGCTGCACCATCTCCACATGGGGATTCGATCTCCACATGGGGATTCAGGGATAGAATAGGTTCCCTACATGCTGATCACCACATGGGGACGAGGTTCCCTACACCACATGGGGATTCAGGGATAGAATAGGTTCCCTACATGCTGCACGATCACCACATGGGGATTCAGGGATAGAATAGGTTCCCTACATGCTGCACGATCTCCACATGGGGATTCAGGGATAGAATAGGTTCCCTACATGCTGCACGATCTCCACATGGGGATTCAGGGATAGAATAGGTTCCCTACATGCTGCACGATCTCCACATGGGGATTCAGGGATAGAATAGGTTCCCTACATGCTGCACGATCTCCACATGGGGATTCAGGGATAGAATAGGTTCCCTACATGCTGCCCAATCACCACATGGGGATTCGGGGATAGAATACATCCCAAACAATCGTGTGGGGAATTGGTTGAAATCTCATAGTTGACAATTCGTTCATTACATCTGACCAATGAGTGAAAAGAAATTGGTTAGCATAATAATTGGTTAGCATAATATTTCATATTTATCTTATAAGGCTGTGACTGCAGATACATACCCCCCCTCCCCTCTCAAAAAAATAAATATTTGGGTTCACTGTTTCTTTGTAATTATTTTGAAATGTTTGGTACTTTAAACTAATGACTAATAATATATATATCATGAATAAAACCTCCTTAGTATGATTTGCATGATTTTTATTATTTTGAATTTCACAGATTTTGAATTTGTTTTATCTGGCTTGTGAAGGAATGTATATATTCAGCAGTAAATTTTCTCTAAGACCAAATAATGCTTTCAAAGTTCAAAATCCGAATGTATCTCATTCTAAGGTTTTTTACAATAGGAACCATGATGCATTAGTTTGAGGGGCAAATTGCTGAACAGTATGAATAAGGAATCTGGGTGCGAGACTAGACATATCTTTACCATGTTTACAAAATTTGCAAAAAAATACCATTTGCGTTTACACTTTCGACTTAGTTTAATTATAGCTTGATTCATGTCTAAATAATGTTTGGATAGTTTTGTTTTTGTCTTGTCAATTTTTTAAACTAGGAGTGAAAGGTTTGACCAGCATAACTGTTTATAATGTCCGCCCTTTTTCATTGCCGGTTACTTGCAAAATAAGAACTAACATGTGGAACAAAGTTAAACCTCATGTAACACTTAATTTAATGCATATGTAAGACGTGGGTAATAAATAAAATACCACACTTGGTCTCATAACATACGAACTATACGGAACTCGTGACCTTCCTGTGGTTTCTGACCTCCTCGCTTTCGCTCGGTCAGATACCATAGGAAGGACACTCGTTTCGTATTATTTGTATGTAATGAGACTCGTCTACTATTCTCTATGTATACCATGGCTTTACATAATGCAAGAGTCATACATAATGCTTACATATTGTACATGGCAAAGTGGAATACTTTATTTGCACAGAAGTAATTTGAGTAAACATGGTAAATGTCTGTTTCTAATGACAATGAATATGATAAACATTCAACAGAACTCCTGAAAATGTTCCTCTATAATGACATGGCTTCAGATTACAGTGTGGCAGACTGGCTAAATCATTTGCCCCTATTTATCTAACATATATGTCAAGTTGTCTGTCAGTCTCTACCTTTAACATTTTGGACATCTTCTCTGAAACTTTAAGGCCTCAGGAGCTGAGTGATCTGGTTTTTATGTCTGATCAGTGCTCACATGTTAACTTGAAAATCAATTTTGGCTGCTACTTGGCCAGTTCTGCACATATCATGAAGTTTGCAGCAATACAGTGAAACCTGCCAACACCTGTCTAATCCGGCACACTGTCAAAACCAACATAATATTTTGGTCCCTCCATTTTACAACGATATTATGATCATTAAAACCTTGTCTAATCCGGCACCTGTCTATTCCGTATTCCGGCACGACTTTTCAGTACCAACAAGCAATTTGAACTGTAATTAACACTGTCTAAACCGGCATGGGTATGAGTAGTCCAATCAAGGACCCATAATCCAACACACCAATTAGTCCTCTTGGCACGCTAGAAAATCAAGAAGTAGTGATTGCGCGGTGAATCAAACGCTCTAAGCCGGCATGGGTATGAGCAGTCCAATCATGGTCCCTTTATCCAGTACACTTCTCTTGGGACATTGTTTGAATTTGTTGCACAATTACGAAAGATCAAAGGCATTATAGAGATAAAGAGATTGTCGAGTGTAAATGGCAGCCATGTTGGAAAATGATCGTCACTGTCCAATCCGGCACCCTGTCTAAACCGGCATTTTATCTCGGTCCCGTGGGGTGCCGGTTTAGACAGGTTTCACTGTACATGAAATATGTGTGCTTTAGAGTTTAAACTTGTATCAGCTTGTGTTGATATCATTTTCCAAAGGACAATTGGTTGAGCTGAAAACAAGTAGGATGTCATGTATAGCAGACATAAGTATTTTTAAAAATAATAAATAGTTTTTTAAATATTTCTTTTTCTTATCATTTCCAAGGTTGAAAATGGGAGTCTGAAATATCCTTTACATATTTATTTTGTATTATTTTCTTAACAAGCAAGAAACACAGAGTCTGCATTGAAATGGATAATTCTCCAAGACTTAAGATTTGTTGCTAATGTGTTTCAGTTCTATGACTTGATGGAGTTGTTCCAGACTGGTGGACAGATGCCAGACACAAACTACATCTTCATGGTAATATCACAGAGAGATGTCGCCCTTCTGTAGTTGTATATACCTTTCCCCAGTAAATATAGTATATGAATATGTTAACCTCACATGCAGTGTGGCTGTGTTGCCTTACCGTTTCCTGTAAACTAAGTAGAGACTTTCCTGAAATAAACCAACTGGACATCATATCTGTGGGCCCTACAGTTTCCAATAAATATACAGTATATTACAGTCTATATCAGCATTTGATTGTGGTCTGACAATCGTGTAACCTGCATTAAGTTGTGAGTTCCTTGGCCTTGGTTCACTGAAGAAGCTGGAATGTTTCAGGGGGACTTTGTAGACCGTGGGTACTACAGTCTGGAGACCTTCACCTTGCTGCTTACACTCAAGGCCAAGTGAGTTTGACCTTCATAGTAACTTATGAATTGTCTGTGGATTTTGCTTGATGATGTAAATGCTGATGTTCCGTCTTTTGGTTACCAAGGTGAACAGATACCTGGCACAAACCTGTTCAATCTTTTTGATGTATGTGTAAAAGCTTTTGCTACACTTTTGTAGTGGAAGTAATATATATATATATACAGAAGAATCCTTTCCCTACTTGTCTTGATGTACCTTACCACTCACCTGACTGTTACCTTCTTATGTATCTGATGTCGCATCTTAAACATCTTCTCTGCACCAATGAACTTCAGAAACTTGGTACCTTGAAAAGTCAGTAATGTCCATAATTCCATTCCAGATGGCCCGACAAGATTGTTCTATTGAGAGGAAACCATGAAAGTCGTCAGATCACACAAATCTATGGGTTCTATGGTAAGACTCACTTCCCTCACAGCGTCATGGTTACTGGAGCACTGTTAAATACCAGTCCTGTTTGTAATATAGTCCAAGTTGTTGTCATGTCCAAAGGTTTACCTTGTTGTATCTGCTTGTGACATCTGGTGAACTAGGAATATGTTTTTGGAGTGCAGCAAAATTAGCCACTGTAAAATGCACCTTGTGGATGTCACTTCCATGAAGCTTAATGCTGTCATTTCATTTCGCTTCTTTTTGTGTACTGATATCCTCATTTGATGATTTACTTGACTGAGTGAAGAAAAGCTTTAAATGGACACTATGTGTCTATTGTTTCTTATCAGAGTTGAAAATCAGCTATATATATTCTGAATGCAATATTTGAATGAACCTCTTTGGTCAGAGGGCGATGGGGGAGCCTAGTGGTTATAGCGTTCGCTTGTCACGCCCAAGACCCGGGTTCGATTCCCTACATGGGTACAATGTGTGAAGCCCATTTCTGGTGTCCCCTGCCGTGATATTGCTGGAATATTACTGAAAGCAGTGTAAAACTAAACTCACTCACTTTGGTCAGAATGGTGAAGAGGTGAAGGTGTGCGACTTCAGATCAGGTCCACAGTTTGAATTCCTTCATGGCAGTTGGAAAGCCACCACAAAATCACTGGAATATAAATGTAGTTACATCCATTCTCAATGTTCAAGTCTATGAGGGGGTGTTAATGGGCAATTCAATGGTGATGCCATTCTGCTGTGCAGTTGTGTCCCCTTAACATACCAGAAGCCTGAGACAGTGGGATTGAATTCTAGTGCACCCAGATTGTTTCTTGCTGTGTCAGCACCGTGGCCATCTCATGGCTGTAACTGAAGTGATATAACAGGAACATTGTCAGAAGTTGTGTTGAAACCAGTTCACATTCTCTTGTGTTGTGTGTTCAATATTTATGTCCAGCACCTTACATGTTGATGTTTTCTCCCTGGTGTCACTGGTCAATGAATACTAGCCTACTTGCTACTTAGATTGTGTTTTATATCGAGAAATGCTGTCTGTTCCAGACGAGTGTCAGACTAAGTATGGGAATGCCAATGCATGGAGATACTGTTGTCGGGTGTTCGACCTCCTCACCATCTCAGCCGTAAGTACATGGAGTTGCACAAAATATTCTCTGTCAAACTGGAGCTATGTTACAAGCTACCACTCCACTTTGACTATATGATAAATATTTGTCACTGATATGAAGCAACAAATCCCTCCAGGGCCTAAAGCACCATTCTGTGAATCCCTTTTGCCCCACCCTGATATTGCTGTGTTTTTACCAAGAGGAGAGTTCGGCCAATCTCACTTACTGACAAAAGTTCAAGTTCAACTTTCAAGTTCAATGCTGATTTGGCTGTCTAAGGATATGTGGCTAATAGTTTATCAAGAGGCTATTGCATGTGCATGTTATTCAGCAGTGCTCATTGGTGGAATATAAAGTATGAAAAGGAAAACACTTTCAATTCCTTTATATGTGTTTGTCCAGGAACACAGATACTAATATCTGCTTTCATTTCTAAGATCAAGACATGCTTGTACATCCTACATGCATAAACATAACTATCTGTACCTTTTTAACTTAATCATCTCCAGATCATCTCAGCAAAATGTCAGATATAAATACTTGTATCCTATAAATGGTAAAGATGTTCATGCTCTTTTTAATATCACAAACTAATTAAGACCCAGTATCACGCTGAAGACCCGGGTTCGATTCCCCACATGAGTACAATGTGTGACCCCCATTTCTGGCGTAAAACTAAACTCACTCACTCACTAAGACCCAGTATAGTTCACAAACACTATTAGTCACTGGATGAGCCTCATCTTGGCATGTGGGGGCGGTGGGGTAGCCTAGTGGTTAAAGCGTTGGCTCGTCACGCCGAAGACCCGGGTTCGAATCCCCACAAGGGTACAATGTGTGAAGCCCATTTCTGGTGTTCCCCGTCGTGATGTTGCTGGAATATTGCTAAAAGTGGCGTAAAACCAAACTCAGTCAGTCATCTTGGCATGTTACACGACGACGATGATGATGATGATGGTGATTTGTTCATGTTTCAGATCATCGATGAATGCATCCTGTGTGTACATGGTGGCCTCTCTCCAGACATCAAGACAATCGACCAGATCCGTACCATCGAGAGGAACCAGGAGATCCCTCACAAGGGGCCTTTGTGGTATCCTTTTAGAAGCTGCATGTTAGAAAAGACTTCCGGCTTCCCAAATCTGCCAGTACATAGCAAAATATTCTTCTGCCAAATCACAGGGACTAATACTGTTGTGGTCTACATGCAAGCACTCTTCCATCCCCAGTTTTAGGTCATAAGTACTGTTGGCATTTTAGCAGATTAAAATCCACCACACTACAGAAGATCATTAATAGTAAATAGACAGCTATCCCGAACATGCTGAAGTGTACTGTGGACCATTCTCAAAGCTCTTTCTGAAACAATGGTATTAGTATATACTAGGGCTGTAATGAATACACTATGTGGCAAATATGATACGTATCATGAATATTGGGTAATGAATACGAATAACTATTTAAGAATACAATATTGTAGTTAAGTGATTGATGCACAATATTGAACGCCCATGTTGACAGTTTTGATTTGTCACAGCAATAACCAGTGATCTCATGACACTCAAATTTGGTATGTAATAGTTATAGTCGACAGTACCATGCGCTGCCTTGGCAAACTAACATGACTTGCACTACTGCAATGCTAGTACATGTTCCATTCTTGCATATCTCACTTTGGAAAAGGACATAAGGGTTCAAGTAAAACATGCTCCCTTAAAAAATCATAAATATTTGTTAATATTCGGTTCTGGTGACCACGAATAACGAATTGAATTCATGAAGGGCTACGGTTCGATTCACCGAATATGCGAGTGAATCGTTACAGCCTTAGTATATACCTCTTTCTCATTAGGATACTTGTACAAGTGAGGGAGATAATGCATGTTCTGCCATGACTTGTGTAAATACTTGATTGTGATTAATTAACGTTATTCAGAAGTACAGTCGTGCCCCGTTTATCCGGACACTTGTGTTTTTCTTGAAATTGTCCGGATAAACGAATTTTCGGATATCTGAAACCACGGAAGATATGTAAAACGACATACAAAGAAACGAACATAATAGACCTCAGACGTAATCTTTATTGAAAAGACATCAACAAATAACGATGCATACATAAATATCATCTTGTCAAATAAAGTAGTCAAGTCAATAACGTGTGCGAATATACCTGTACATGCATCTGTCTGTCAAATGCTAGCAACCAATCACGAAACAGTTCGGATGTCATCCACGCGTTCGCATTGTTGCTGTACCTAACATAAACTTCCGGATTAAAGTCACTACCAAAACAACAGGGACGTCTTGCCTTGCCAATCACAACTCAAAATTAACTCAGTGTCACCTTGCTAATTACAGGTAGTTAATCCTCTCACGCATCAAAGACTGCAGACTTCTTTTATGTTAGGGCGTGCAAGTCCACTTGGTAAAATACGTGTGTAAACTTTACTGACAGGTGCTCAGCCATCCGGATATACAAGAAAAAATGCATATAATATAGCGTTTTGTATGTGAAAATGACCGTTCGGTTACAGAAACAGGATTTCCGGATAAGTGAGTAATTTTGCAACGTTGAGAATTCGTTTTGATGAATTTTCGTTTGAAAGGCGTGTTTTCCAGATATCTGAGGTTCGGATAAACGGGACACGACTGTATATGATCACATTATTCAGGTCTGTGATTTTCCGTTGCAAAAGTGCTATATCATAATGTACTAACTAGCGGGTCAGAAATGGAGTACTATGATTGTGCTGTCAGAAATTACATATCTGAACATGTTCAGTTTTAAATGATATTTAGAGCTGTAAATCTATGATACTACCTCAAATTTTGTTGGCCTTAATTCCCAACACAGACCTGGTCTGGTCCGACCCTGAAGATGTTGACACGTGGGCTATGAGTCCAAGAGGTGCAGGCTGGCTTTTTGGGGCAAAGGTTACCAATGAGGTTTGTGAAAATTTAAGATCAGTTGTCATAATTATGGGGGATGTTTTTGAGGTTTGTCCCTGCACGATTTGAGTCTGGGAACCCCCTCAAACTCTGTTTTTCACCATTATTGTTATACCATTAACACCTTGAATTTGCTTAGTTTTGGATGCTAAACATCTCTCCCCATGTACATGTTGAAGTGTAGAGAGATGCTGTTTGGTCTTTCATTGCATTGCTTCGCTCCATCCTTTACCTCTTTTGGATGATGAAAAAGAGGTTGAGCATGTTTTGAGTACCGGTAGCTTCAAAATATTACAGGGGGTGGTGGGGTAGCCTAGTGGTTAAAGCGTTCGCTCGTCACGCCGAAGGCCCGGGTTCGATTCCCCACATGGGTAAAATTTGTGAAGCCCATTTCTGGTGTCCCCTGCCGTGATATTGCTGGAATATTGCTAAAAACGGCATAAAACCATACTCAGTCAGTCAGTCAGTCAAAATATTACAGCATCCCAAGCCCACAGGTAAAGTATTATGAAATCTTGGTTTAACTGTTTAAATTACATGATGCAAAACTGTACGTGTACACAAATGTATAGAATGGATGCAGAAAAATGATATATTGCATGCTAATGGATACACTGTAGAACTCTTGGTACTCCATGGGGCATTGTCTCCATCCTGTACACATCATTATCACATTACCCCTAGAATCTAGAAAGGTTGGGCTTTTGTGTTTGTCTATTTTGAAAATGTGTTTCTGACCTGTGTACAATTACAATGTCTACATGATGTCCACTACTGTACTCAACATTCCATTAACATGATTCCTTCTGTTGCCAGTTTGTCCACATCAATAACTTAAAGCTCATCTGCCGAGCTCACCAGCTGGTTCATGAAGGTAAGAAGAGCCTAATGGTGAAAACATTCCATATCACTGTCCCATCTACAAAGTCCACTTGTGATGATCTCTGATGTAGAAAAGTTGCTATGGATTTAAACCCATTCCAATATCATGGTTATCTCAGTTGTCTAAGACTTGTGGTGTGGCATGCAAGGATCCTATGTTGTGGGATCAGTGTCAGATTGACGCTTGTGTGCCTGGGTTTTGAAAATAGTAAAACCCCTTAGACCTGTATCAATTTCAGCTTTTCTCCTACATTAATCTGGGCGAGAATTTGTGTCCCTCAGTTGTCCCTTTTGGCCTGGTCCAAAGCTGTAATATTCAGAACCCATTACTTATAAGGAATATGGTCTGCCTTGTTAAATAACTGACAACTCCAACTCAGCCTTTCGGGTTGGGGCGCTGAGGTAGCCTAGTGACCAAAGCATTTGCTCTTGATGCTTAAGTTCAAGGTTCAGTCCCAAAAGTGCATACAATGTACGAAGCCCACTTTTGGTGTCCCCTGCCGTGATATTGGTGGAACATTGCAATAACCATACTCACTCACTCACTCTTCCAGGGTACAAATACATGTTTGATGAAAAGCTGGTGACGGTGTGGTCAGCACCCAACTACTGTTACCGCTGTGGCAACATCGCCGCTGTCCTCTCCTTCAGCAACCCTGACACGAAGGAGGCCAAGCTGTTCCGTGCAGTGCCAGACAACGAGAGAGTTATCCCCCCTAGGACACAGACCCCATACTTCTTATGAGCAGTATGTTATAATAAGAAATAATAAGTTATAGTGCTTCACACATTGGCATATGATTTACTAGCAGTGAAATAATTCAGGGTCAACCACTGCAAGAATCAAATGAAAAATACTCTTTATCAATGACTGAAATATTAACATTCTGAAGTGAGATAACATTTGCATGCAACAATCGTATTTGATAGAGACATACTAATGAATATGTATTTCATCTGTGTTTAATGTGTGTGGACAAAATATGATGAGATTCAGTCTGGGCAACCCTCAAATGTTTAATATTAAGATATACATTTAACAGGAATTATTGAAAACATCATGTTACTCTCACCTTGCAACTTTCTTTTGGTAGTGTTGGAATTATAACACAAAAATGGGCAATGGTATAACTAAGAGTTTTAAATACAGGATAGAGGGAAGTCTCTTTTGAGAGCATTTCCTTGTTTCAACATGAGTCAGTCCTAGATGTGTTTAGTTAATGAGAGTTTATTACAGTTTATAACATTGGTTCAATTCTTTTATGGGTTTATGTGTACTTGCTTATAAGTCTTTTCTCCTGACCGTTGTACAAATGTGATCTAAAGTTGCAGTGAACCTAATGTATCAATTTTAAGCACCATTTCAATCTGTCTCAGAATTTAGAAAGGGAAGAAATTAGGTCATTGAAACAGATTTATCACATGTCTTATCATTTTGACTGAAGTGTTGAATATTTCATTCCATGTGCTCGCAGCAAAACTATTATTTGAAATTGATGTTATCATTCTTATTATCATTCTTGTAATTGGAGGAAAGGTTACTTCAAAAACCAATTACAAAAATGTTCAACCCTTGGCTAACGTTGCAAGGGAATGATCCCAACATCCCTCTTTGTCTGTGCATGCTGTTTAGCAGTATATGTTAAGTACAAACCATCCAAGTCAAGGGTGTTTATCTATACCATAGATGGTGTAATTTCAGATTTAAAATATGAATTATGAAATTATGTCCTCATTTTCTAAAGTAACAATACAGTTCTTTCCTCAATGAGATTCTTTGTTTCATATTCCAATAATTTTCATTTTTCTTCTGGTTTTCTCTTATACGATGATATTTTAAGAAATCTTATTAAAATGAGATCTTTCTCTCAGACTTTCAGATCGGATCGGATTTAAACATCTGATATTAATGAGATCGATATTTTGAAGAATGTCCATGTCGTCCTTGTTGATTGAATGTGAGCAAAGCTAAAATATTCATCATGTTTAATGATTAATAAAATATATGTAAATATTTTTATAGTAGTTCATTGATTTACTGATATTTATATTGATTGTAAATCAGGTATAAGCATTTGTTTATTTGTTTGAAGTTGTAATCTTTGTACGGACAATTCATCCATTGCAAAGATGATGAGTCAAGATCTACCATGAGTCATAAAATTCTCACGATAGGCCATAAAACTTGCGCTATGTTCAGAACAGTGATGATGTGGTTAATTGTTTGTGCAATCTTTGGCAACCCACTTTGAAAACCGACAGTGAAGATTATTTTTAAGATGGCTTTAAAACAGTATTCCAAATTGTAAACAGCAAGATCTATAATTTATGAAGAGAGACAGTTCAGTTTACATTCCTTCATACCCTGATATTTGTGACCTGACAGCTGATCGTCTCAACAGGATAAGATGACTGAATGAATTGTTAAATAGACTGAAACATAAAATAAGTCAGTGATTGTTTGTGTGGATAATTACTAACACATTTCTTGGCACCATTGACTAACACAACTCGAATTATGTTGCATGTTCAGCTAGCTGCAGACAAGATGTATACAATGTACGCTACTTAATGCTGTGACACTTTCAATTTGACTTTGGATTATATTGCAGCTGTTTTAGACAGTATCACTTGTATGGTGTCAAATAGTAGCTGTGGAAATATATTTTTGTGTTCAAATACTTCAGCTCTAGGGTTCTTTCGCGTTTTGTCATTTATTGTTGGAGTTGGAGGGGAGCGGGGATTATTAAAGGGTGTCATTAAAAAACTGAAACCACAGAAAAACTGATGGCCATTAATCATTGATACATATGATACAGTCTACATGCCCCTCTCACCCCAATCCCTCAGAGTGTGTTTCCACTACTTACTAGTCAAGGTAGTTGTGGTATATGACTCTCAAGTCTCTTCCCATTGCCACTGTGTGTCACTTGGTGGGGCTGCTGTGATCAGTTGCTGTTTAAGAGAGGTAGTACACGGAGGCCTTCTGTAACTCCTGACAGTCACACAAGCACGACACCATAGATGAATGTTGTTCAATACCTGACATTGCCTGATATGGATGGTGAGATGTCACTGGAAACCAAGGGCTTACTGGTCTCAACACTTGCTGTTTTGCCTGCATATAGAATAGCGACTTCACAGTGCATCTTTACATATTTACAGCTGATGGAAGAAGGTATTGTATTAAGACTTGTGAACGTCTGAGGATGTGCCACAGCATGGCTGCCTTGGAATTAATTCTGTCACAGGTCCTGTTTCAACAAAGCATTGTGTTGTTATCTCGCCTGGCAAAGAAGTACAGAATGTCTACCTTGAGATGCCTGTGGTGGATACAGGCATGGCAGGGCATTAAGATGGTACTAATAGATTGCCAATCAGTGCCAAAACTTCCTGAACTGTACAGTAGCAGGATCTGGTGATTATTGGTTTGAATCACAGATTCACCTCGGCCCTTTTCCTTGGTTTGTCTGCACCATACTGATGTCATGAGTTTATCAGTAGGATAAATGTCTAGGACGGTTGTTGGGCTTCCCACTCACATTCAGCTGACATACTGGTTGAGCTGGTTTGTCTTGACTTGACCACTCACATTCAGCTGACATACTGGTTGAGCTGGTTTGTCTTGAGGTGACCACACACTTGATGACATTCTGATATGTGATGTCATACGCTTGTGGAATAACCAGAGGAAATCACAGCAATATTTACACATTATGTTTTTAGTTGTTTGTAACTTTGATGATTGTTAAATATCTCCAGGCTGCATATATTGATGGAAGCTGTATTCTTTGTCAGCTGATGCACAATCAAAATGGTAACGTAATTTTATGACAATGTCTTTTCTCATCACATGTTATGTAAAGGTTATCTTAACATATGCATTGATTCCAACATGAAATGACCGGTTGTACATATTTTTGTGTTATAATGTAACATACATGTTTTGTAAAACAAAAGTACATATGTAGTTTCCAATAAATATCATGAATTAAAACATTTGTTTGTTATATTATGGTTGTGTTTTGTATCAATGTCCGAGAATTAACAGTGTATATAGTGAGGAATAGGGGCGGTGGGGTAGTCTAGTGGTTAAAGCGTTGGCTCGTCACACCGAAGACCCGGGTTCGAATCCCCACATGGGTACAATGAGTGAAGACCATTTCTGGTGTCCCCCGCCGTGATATTGCTGGAATATTGCTAAAAGCGGCGTAAAAGCAAATTCAACAGTCAGTCTAGTGAGGAATAACGTTTTTTTGTTTGGTACCATTTTCAGTGAAATCAAGATTTACGTATCAGAAATAAGCAATGGACTTCACCTCACCCAAATGTGTAGTGTATTATATTAAATTTGTTCTGAACCGATCAAGCTGAATCAAGAGGACGCTTGCATCTGAGTGCTTTGACAATTGAATAAACTGTCTAAAACTCTGGCACTTCACACAGGGGTAGATCAAACTTTATTTATTTTCTAAGGTGTCGGCCGCTTTATTTTGACTAAAGGTTTCTACAGAATGAGAATGTCCTTTTAAGAGAAAGAGGTGCGAATATGATCGTGATACTTTTTAAGAATTCTCATTCCTGTGTTCCATGGCGCACAGACAACATTCACAGAACTAACGCCCACCTGCTGATATAGACCATTAAGTCATTAAACAGATTTCTGATGGTTTGGGGGCGGTGGGGTAGCCTAATGGTTAAAGCGTTGGCTCGTCACGCCAAAGACCCGGGTTCGAATCCCCACATGGGTACAATGTGTGAAGCCCATTTCTGGTGTCCCCCGCCGTGATATTGCTGGAATATTGCTAAAAGCGGCGTAAAACCAAACTCAGTCAGTCAGTCTGATGGTTTGTTTACGGGGTTCGATCGCCGTAAAGCCTTCCCTGACCTTTTCTTTAATCCTCCTCCAGAACCTGTCATCATCGTAGTTTTATATTTATTCATTGTCAATCAATTCTATTGCTCTTGCTGAATACAAATAGGATAAGGAAGGATGACAATTATGGGACTGTAATAAAGAAGTTGTTCATCCCTATATTGTCATCCTTTTTTATTAATCCAACTTCTAAATGCCTCCCAAATAAGTTAAACATAGGATGTTCATTTTGAAAAGACTCTTTACTACGTGGTAGTCAGTTTGACGATAGATGGCACTGCGTCAAAAGGACACATTAGGCAAGTGGATTCCGGATAACAATAGGTTCCCCGTAACCGATGCTGTCGTGAGGGGCGACAACTTGGTAGGTCAGACTTCACTGGATTGTCTGTTTCAGGCTCCGTCCTTGGTAAAAGCTGGAATATTTTGCATTAAGTTAAAACTGGTTCTTTGTGAAAAGTATGAGTGCAAGACGCATTGTTGGAAATGGATCTGCTCTCGTGAATCGGCAATTCTATGCCGCTTTCTTTGGGAGTCGTATGATCTACAGTGACAAATATCACAAACATTCTAGGCCAAGAAAACCGCAAGTGGGCACGAAAAACGTTCCACGGTATCGAGGTCCGATAAGAGGCAATCAACCAAATGATTGAGCCTGACCACCGCATTATAATCCACCAGCGATAACAATATTATATACTGGGGTCTATCATTACCCGGGTCGTGCAGTTGTTTATTAAGTACATACAGTTTAACGATAAAGTTGGCGATGTCACAGCAATAACACAATCGGCAATTTGTTCTAGTCAAACTAGTGACATTGAGGTTGAAGTAATCGAGTTCATATTCAGGTCAGACCTAATTCTTTTGACGATTTTCTTTGATAAATAATATGTCAATACGGAGCAAGCAAAGGTTATCCTATCTGGACGTTTTCAGTTTATTCCGTACAACGTTTTTGAAGTGAAAATATTTTATGTTGGCAGGGATTATCTGTAAGACAGGAAAAGAAACTTGATCAGGATCTGTTGAGATTCTATAACGCGTTCTCAACAAAATACAATGTATTGGGAATCCTGAATGATACACCTGCACGACTTAAATTCTCTGTGTGAGTGAAACAAAGTTAAATGTACTTCTCAGAATGTAAATACTAACAAACGCCAATGTTTTATGGGTATTGGCCACACTATGTCGTTTCTGAGCACCTTTACATCAACACCAAACATATGGTGAAACAATGGCCATGTTTTCTGTGGTTCTTCTTCCGTTAAATTTCCAAATCGAGGTGATGAGGAATTGAAGCCGCAAACTGATTTTCAATGCTGACATCTGATTGACATGCTAACCCACACATCTTTCAGATAAATTGGGCGGTCACGCCGAAGACCCGGGTTCAATTCCCCACATTAGTACGATGTTTGATGCCCATTTCTGGTGTCCCCCGCCATGATATTGCTGGAATATTGCCAAAAGCGGCGTAAAACTAAACTCACTCACTATATTGGGCGGCCAAGGTTTATTCGGGGCCGACCTTGAGGGTTGCCAGTTGTTTAGGCAGTGATGTACCGAATCGAAACAAAGCTTTCACGACCTATTAAGTTTTGCGTCACCGTGACCACAAAGACGCGGGTCGCTGCTCATAATATCAATCACCGGACTATCTTGCCCAGGCACGACTATACAAAGATACCCGTCGTATAGTGGGTGAACTTGGTTTAACACTGCCCTTCACAGTGCTCATGACAGTGTTCCAGTATAAGCCCTGTATTCAGCCTAATGCTGGAGGGAAGCCTGAAGTCATGCAGGCATCAGACACTTACTACTTCGGTGAAACCCACGAGAACGGTATTCAGCTTAATGCTGGAGGAAAGCCTGAAGTAATGCAGGCATCAGACGTTTACTACGTCAGTGAAACCCAGGAGAACGGTATTCAGCTTAATGCTGGAGGGAAGCCCGAAGTAATGCAGGCATCAGACACTTACTACTTCGGTGAAACCCACGAGAACGGTATTCAGCTTAATGCTGGAGGAAAGCCCGAAGTAATGCAGGCATCAGACGGTACTTCGGTGAAACCCAAAAGAACGGTATTCAGCTTAATGCTGGAGGAAAGCCCGAAGTAATGCAGGCATCAGACGTTTACTACGTCGGTGAAACCCACGAGAACGGTATTCAGCTTAATGCTGGAGGGAAGCCTGAAGTAATGCAGGTAACAGACACTTACTACTTCGGTGAAACCCACGAGTACGGTATTCAGCTTAATGCTGGAGGGAAGCCCGAAGTAATGCAGGTAACAGACGTTTACTGCTTCGGTGAAACCCACGAGAACGGTATTCAGCTTAATGCTGGAGGGAAGCCCGAAGTAATGACGGCATCAGACACTTACTACTTCGGTGAAACCCAAAAGAACGGTATTCAGCTTAATGTTGGAAGGAAGCCTGAAGTAATGCAGGTAACAGACGCTTACTACTTCGGTGAAACCTACGAGAACGGTATTCAGCCTAATGCTGGAGGGAAGCCCGAAGTAATGCAGGTAACAGACGTTTACTACTTCGGTGAAACCCACGAGAACGGTATTCAGCTTAATGCTGGAGGGAAGCCCGAAGTAATGCAGGCATCAGACGTTTACTACTTCGGTGAAACCCACGAGAACGGTTATTGTGCTGACAAACCGAGAAATGTAATATGGCGAATTCGAACACGCAGTCATAGGATTCAAAACAGTATGATGGATATCTCAATGTGCTAGCTCAGACTCAGAACGGGGCTAAATCCAAAATTTTCAAAAACTTTCATTTCCAAGCTTTAATCATGAGTAAAGTTCAACAAATAGGTTGGAAATGAAATAAAGGAGGTAAAATGGTGCTAACATGATTAAAAAGATTTAATTAATATAAACTTGTGTTACTTGATACCTTAAGATCATATATTTTTCCTGATTTTCTAAGAGTCAAATTGTAAGTTCAAAGATTTCTTTCGAAAACTGTTTGCTGACTTCGACGTCAAACAAATAAACTACTTGAGATACACTTATGGAACAGTCATACGGCAGAGATCGCTCTTCTGGCATGGGCCGCTGTTCCATACAGATTGTAGCGATACGAGTGTCATGAGTCAGTTTGAACATACATGGCTGTAAGTAGCATGTTAACGCAAGCATCGCTCTGTGGGCCTTGGCCGTTGTATAATGTTTTCATCGAGATGACCTTGGGCGTTGATTGAGGATTATCGTGATTGTCATTATAAGATCAGTAATTGGAAAACATCAAACCAGCATTGCCTTGAACGATTTCCACTAAAGAGGTAGCCTCAAAGAACAAATCCCAAATACAAGAACAAATGTGAATATGAATATTGCGTGTTCCTACGTCCACAGCAGTCCGGAGACAAAGCTAGCAGGTGTGGCAGTAACTGGTTTGCCATCAGAAACACTTTTAATCGGAAAGAAATTATAAGACAGTGTAAACTCCCAGCAGCGCATTAGTGCAAACGGGACTAATGGATTTATTTAATTAAGTCCGTAGGGAGCTGTGGCAGGGAAGGAAAGCCAACTGATAGTTCAAGACAATCTCACATTGATTCCTTGCTACATTGTACAATGGTGGTCTATTGATTCGGTCATTTATAGTTTGTCCATTATCAAAATGAAAAGCTAAGGTTAAACAATACAATGTGCGTTGTTGATATTTTTGTTGCTATTATCGAAATTGTCTTATGCAGAAAGATGATATATGTGGGTGTATGCTGTACATGATAGATTGTCGATATAAGTATACGAAAGTCGATCTCTACTCCTTGCCTTCAACTATAAAGACTGAAAAAACTAGTTTTGGTCGTCGGCATACTTATTATTGTCGTAAAAAATATCGCTTTGTTATGTTTAAAACATCAGCCAAAGTCAGTTACCGCCCTTTTGTTTTACCTAATGTACATCGTGTTTGTCATACTTTAAGGGCTTCTAAGTGGAAGCTAATGCTATGTCGTTGATCTTTGATAAAATATGATTTTTATTAAAAGAGTATGTGTTGTTATAATGTATAAACATGGGAGTTGTACCGATTGATTGTAAAAATGTATCAAAAACGCGCATGAATGAGGCGACTTACAAGATCGGAA